TTTAAATTACTGTCTAGCCTTAAACTGGTTAAATGACCCACTGTCAACTGTGAACGTAATTGATTAAAATGAGTTAAATGACCCTTGCCTAGTGTAGTCAGTGTTAACTTTATTAAGTGTGGATGGGTATTTAACAGAAGCAGTATTTTGTCGAATTTTATAAAAATAAAAATCATTACATAACATCAAATGGTGTGTTTAGTTCTTCTTTATATTTGGATATGAAATGAAATGGGGTTTAAAGTCCTACTTTTCTGCTCTGACTGGGCTAATGAAGACGGTCATATGCCATACCGTGTGCTATAAGGGAAATTTTACCTGGGCAGCGGCACTATGGCCTAGACTTATCGAATTCCAACCGCAAATGTGTACACGGGAACTTGTTTTCCACCCCATCCGAATGACCAGACAGCTGTCCTTGTCAGCCCCTCCATCCTGCACCACTGACAAGGGAAAACCACGTCCCATCCGCATGACCAGACAGCTGGCCTTGTCAAGCCCCCCCCCATCCTGCACCACTGACAAGGGGAAAGCACATTAACTCAAAATCAAAAAGTACAGGTTCATTTCATAAAGTACAGAAAAGACAAAGCTAGTCAAATTTTCTGCTGCATAAGCTCCCCTCCAACCCCACCACACTCACTCATCGGGGTAAAATATACTGTGTATATTATCAGAAGTACCACATAAGAGTAAGTTTAAATGAACTGGTACATCTAACAATGTCCCCAGCGTAAGGCCACTAGACACCCCACAAGGCTTGGGCTACATGAAACAAGAGAGAGTGCCCATTTAATGTTCACTCTGGACTAACGTGTTCAATTTTACTTCAATAATTTGCTTGCTGTTATACTGTGAGAGGACCCGGAGTAAACCTACGAGGTGGGACAGGCGACCTCATCCTTTGTCATGTTAACCCCCCCCCCCCCACACACACACACACACACACTGCATGAAACAAGGTTAAAATTATTAATTCGACTCTACTTAAAATAAAATAGAAATTGCCCTGCAAGTTGGCCCATGCATAAGGCCCACCAGCCGAGAGACACTTCCAACAGTTGAGCCAGTTGAAATTGGGCTAGAATATATAATTATATTATCACATACAAATAAGTTTAAAAGTACAAAATGACCCATACCCGACAAATTGCCTGTTGCATAGGGACCGGCAGACATTCCTAACGTGTGAAACCTATCACGTTAGGTGCATCAGATAGATTCTGAATAAGCTTTGTTCTTTGGTTCGAATGAGCCATAGTCCGAATCAGCTTGATTTCAATGCAGAATGGCACTGTCAGACGAAATTTCGTCTGCACAAGGTAATAGTGAACACATTTCCTTCCCCCGTTTATACGAGTATTTTTGTTACGTTTAACAACATATGTCATAACGCCTGACTTTTACCAGGCTTATTTTTTTAATTCATTGCTGGCACACTACGCTCCTGACAAGGGTTCAATTCACGAAGGAGCTGAATGTACCCAGGTTTATTTCTTCAGTGATGCGTTACAAGAATTTTATTAGAGAATTAACTACAAGTAAATCATGTTGAATATTATAAGTAATTTGATGTGCTGTAACGCCCAAACGACTCAAACTAGATCATTCCGGAATTAACATATGGCTCAATTTTATTTCTATTGCGCGTAGGGGTCTTTAGCAGTGGGAGGAAACCGGAGAACTCTGCGAAACCCGACGATGCTGGACAAGCGACCCTACTCCTTGTAACGTACAAGTTTTGGTTCGAAAACACGCCACTTGACTAAATAACAGACCTTATGTGATCTAAAGGGCATGCGCTAGACCACTTGACCTCTCCCTTTGATACTATTTAAATATATCTTGTATTCACCTTTTAGTTCATTAAATATTCCCTTATTTGTATAAAAATAACAAGCCTAAAATTGTCATTTATTTCTTTTTATGCGTTTTATTTAAGTCAGATATATTTTTCTATAACGCATGGATGGACGGATGAGAAGACAATGATCGCGTATGGTAGGCACAACGTCAAATACTACCATAATACAATGCATTAAATTTAGGCTGCCTGTCTAGTTAGCTCCACTTGAGAACAGACACTAAGCTAGTTGGCCGACATTTTAAAGGGGAAGGCCAACGATTTTCAACAAGGTTTACATAAACCTTAAATATATATTGATAAATAATCCCCTCTGTAGCACAAGCAAAAAAGTTTTTGTAAGCGAGAAATTAATTTTTATTAAAACAGGAAGTGACATAGTTGGTTCAACACGCTGACTGGGCTCTATAGTAAGCATACAGATTTGACACAAGTTTACTGCTGTATTGTGTTCACGCGTCTTCCTTTGGCCAAAAATATGATCAAATGGGCTGTTTATTAGGATATCATATACACGAATTTATGGGGTTTTTTTAACGTTTAGTTACAAAGCCGTCGCGTAAATTCACTCATACTGAACAGTACGCTGTGTCTCAATTCACGCCACATGGCTAATTGTTTATATCACGGGGTTTGATTGACAGCTTGCAAGTGACATGTGTTTCGTCTGCATCGATGTTTTTTTGTGCTTGCTGACAGCGTTTTTCAACATAAACAGATCAAAATTATGGGCATGTGAGACATATAATATATAGTGCATTTTGGCACATAATGTCGATGTGAACGGCTTTTCCTTTTTTCTTCCATTTCCTCTTGAGAATGGCTGGGCTCGAATGTTTTTACGGCATTACTGTAGACCACCCATAGAAGATATATTTTATATTCCAATACGTTGGTGTCTGACGTTGACATGCTTTGGAATTTTATATATTTATTTGAATATATATGTGCCACAAGTCCGTTGAAATAAATAAAAACACTATCAGCAGATTCAGCACGCACATAAAATTTCAAGCAGACGAAATATCTCTCACTTGCAAGCTGTCAATCAAAGCACGTGATGTAAACAATTAGCAATGTGGCGTGAATTGAGGCACAGCGTACAGTTTAGTATGAGTGAATTTACGCGACGGCTTTGTGTACTTAACGTTAATAATACATAAATTCGTGTTTATGATATCCTAATAAACAACCGATTGGATCAGATTTTTGGCCAAAGGACGACGCGTGAACACAATACAGCAGTAAACTTGTGTCAAATCTGTATGCTTGCTATAGAGCCCATTCAGCGTGTTGAACCAACTATGTCACTTCCGGTTTTAATGAAAATTAATTTCTCGCTTACAAAAACTTTTTGGTTTGTGTTACTGAGGGGATTATTTATCAATATATATTTAAGATTTATGGAAACCTTGTTGAAAATCGTTGGTCTTCCCCTTTAAGTCCTAAATCGACGATTTTGACAGATGTGAAACGGAGTGGAAACGCATTACAAAACAGTATACTAATTTTTGGATATGGCGGCCATTTAGAGCAGAGATCTATTCTCGAAGTATGAAGTAGATTGATCTTTGTGTGCAGAATGAATACAATGCTTTAAGAGATGCTTTTTTGTGGGTTGCCTCCCTTGTTATAAGTTTGTTTTCTTTTTGATCGATCTATGAACATGTATATAATACATTTGTTTCATAGACTAGATCGAGGGAGCTGAACAAAAATCTTGTTGAAAAATACTAGTTAATTTTTTTTTTATGAATTTGATATGATTTTTAATAAACGTCAACAGGTGGGCAGAATCAAATCTTGGGCACAATTTGCCTTAATAATTGACATTCGACGTGATCCGCTGAGTCAATCCAGTGGAAAACTAATACAAAATCAACCAAAGGCATAATTATTTCAACGAGATCTGGAGGTTATGAGTGGCGCGGACACCATGGCGCGATTTCCGTCATGGATTTAAATTTTTTGCGTCGCCCTTTGCACCCCTCTCTGAAACTCTGAAATAGAAACAATCACGTGCTTACAATGCTTTATTCAACGGTATAATCATAAATGGTTGTTTGGCATCCTTTTCTTTCAGTGTAATCAAATATTTCCGGCGATATAATATCCGGAGAGTCACGGTGGCTAAGTAGATAAGACGTTGGTTCGCTAGCCTGGAGGTCGCGTGTTCGATCCCCTGCATTGGCCGATAAAGTTCATCGGGATTTTCCGGCGTGGTTTCACCTTGTCAGTTATGCAGGACGGATAGGGTCTGATAAGGACAGCTGACTAGTCGTTCGGATGGGACGAAAAATCGAGGCGTGAACGTAAAAGATCCATAGGCAGTTGGAATCCGATATAAGAGTAGGCCGTAGTGTCATAGTGCCACTGCCCTCATAGCGCACTGTATGGCGTATGTCAGTCGGAGCAGAGCAGTAGGACGTTAAACCCCATTTCATTTCATAACTTGCGACATGCCGACGAACGATTAGTCTGAATGTTTCAGAGGGGTTTAAACCCCTGTAAATACTGCAGGACAGATGGCCTGGCAAGAAACAACGTCGTTCACATGGGATGAAAACCGAGGTCCAGTGAAAGAATCCTTGACAGTTGGAATTCGAAATAAGAGAAGGCGTAAACAGCACTGCCCGGGCACATAAATTACCCATGAGCTCTGCCAGTCTCCAAAAGCCCGATTGGTGCAAAACTGTAGCACGTTAATCCCCATTTTATTTTATGTTGGTATGAGGTTGGATGGCCGAATGGTTATCAGGTGCGCGCTGTATCATAAGTTCTGTCATTGAGTCAACTGGCGTGGTTTCGATTCCCCGGTTGTACGTGACACGGAGTAGGGTCGTCTGCCCAACCTCGTAGGTTTTCTCCGGGTTCTCCGGTTTCCTCTCACTGCTAAAGACCCCTACGCCCAAGCGTATTATTGAAATAAAATTGAAACATGTGTTATTCCCGAAATGACCTAGTTTGTGTCGAGTGGATGTTAAACACTATTTCTCTCTCTCCCTCTCTCATTTTATGTTGTTATATTTCATTCTGTCAATTCGGTGTCTGGTAAATCAATTGATTGCTCTTAAGCCTGTAATGAATGTTATCCGAATGTTTATTACAATCATAAAAAGTCAGGTGTCACCAAGCCTATCCGCTGATTGGTATAATTCAAGCATGTGATACGCGAATATGGTTCATTGACATCACTCCATAAGTCAAACAACTCAACCTTGACACACGCCACAACAACGACAGACAACGGCCATATTTAAATCTCTGCTTTCCCGCTCCAAGTTGAATTGGAACAGAGCAGACCAACATCACAAGATCAAGCCATTCGGAAAGAGTTTTGAAGAGCAGAATCTCAAGAATCTTCATAATAATTCGTAAGTAATACAATGTATTTTTCTCCATGGCGGCCCTGTGTTCGATCCAGGTGCCGGCCAAGAATGTTCCTTTTGATTTTCCAGCATGGTTTCCCATGTCATTGGCGCAGCAAGTAACGGTGTCTTGTCATTTTCGTGCAGGTAAAAAAAAAAACCCGTTAGGGTTTGGGATTCGAAGAAGAGTATGCGGAAATGCCGCTTTCCTGGAAAAATTGCCAACATAGCACAGGGCACGTCATTGTCTGCGATATCACTTCTGTGGAAGCACCATGTAGTAGTAATAGGGCACGTTAGTGCCATTTTAGTTATTTATTTATTTTTTTTTTGTTTTTTTTTGTTTCTCTACTAAACTACGGTCTTCCTTTGTCAGACGTTATGCAAATCCCATTTTACCCTGCTCTTACAAGTTACATTATTGCACATCCAGTGGCAATGATATGCCGGTATCTGTTCTGTTGCGAGCGGCACAAATTAATATCAATTGTGATGGGCAATTATAAATTCAGATTTGTTTTTACTTATTCTATAGTTACAATCTCCCGAGGATCGATTGTAGTTTACAGATTCACAATCACCCAAAACTTCGATCAGACAAATCTAGACAACAACCTATTTAATAACATACACAAATGATAAAATTATATTGGGACAAATGAGTATAAGTACGAGTATAAAAACTTTGATCAGGATCAATGTGCAGGTAAAACCCTGCCGCATATTCATATGGTTTGATTAAACCCAACTGCTATGCGAACCAGAATCACGTGATATTATGCCACTCGAAAATACAGAAAAACTGTTCGGTAAGATAAGATTAAGATTTTAGTGTTCCACTATTTACTATTTGTAACATAACTACTTATTTCCATGCAAACTGTGATATGTGTTAAAAATTTTGCAACTGAACCCAATTTTACTTGCTCAAAGCCTCGAAAAGTGTATCAATTGTAGCCGTCAACAAGAATTATCAATCAATTGTAGCCGTCAATAAGAATTATCACGGCTACAACTATTGCAGCTAGATTAGTCCCAGTATTCGGTTAAAATCTTTTTATGCTCTCTGCGCTTCTACAGCTTTGGAAGTAGTAATTTGTAGACAGCCCTTAACAGGTGTCGTCTCTGCGTTGCCGTGGCAATTCTCAAGTTCGCAAAATTACACAGGATCTTGATGATCCAAAACTGACAGGATGAATAAACCATGAATCGGTATAATCCGACATGGTAATAATCCACGACATTAATCCCAAACTTGTATGACAACAGAGAGATCAAGTCTCTCAAAACAGCAAAATGTAAAACAGGGAGGCAATAAAACAGCACAATAAGTGCAACAGCACGAAATGGCAATAATTCTAGAACACAGACCATGTGGGTAAAATAGAAACTTACGACAAACTTTGCGTTCTGTACGAATTGCTAAGGAAGTTCTGCTCAGAAAGTTCTGCCTTCGGACTGGTTTGGTCCGACTTACATAGTTTATGGAAATTCTAGAACTTTGCAACCTTTTCTAGTTAGCTTCGTACATATACACAATATACATATATATTATACAGATCGCCAAATTCAGAAATTCCTGAATTGTGATATCTGTGCATATATATTATACAGAGTTAGATTTATATATATTTTATGTAATATTCTGTTTTAAATTACAAATAATGAAATATTGAAAATTTCCATTATATCAGTACAAATAATTAAATATAAAAATTTTCTGGATAAATTAATTCTCATTTGTGATGAGGCTGCTTTGTATGTTCAATATTTTTTAAATGGTGGTATTGGCATTACTGCCGTTTCTAAAGAAGGGGAATGCTATCAATCATTTTAAAAAGCAACCCACTCTATGACCAAAGGCAATGTTGTAAGATTGTCGTTTTGAATAAATTGAAACAGCACGTTCTCAGATGTGATACAAGCACGGTCGCGGTCATCTGTTAAATCGCCTATTTTCGCATTTATAATGAACAGCCAATATTTTAAAGTATTTTAAAACCAAAAGTACTTGGTTGCGCTCCTCAACCTTTTTAAGTTTTGAAATATAAAACAAAACATCGTTCACGAGACTTGAATGTTTAAGCAAAATCTCCCCATACCTACAGTGCATTCTTAGATAAGTAGGCGAGTAGAGGTTTTGTGATACCCTGTGTCAATCCTTTGATTAAATGCCCACTTGATTCAAGTATAGGGTCTAATACTCACGAATGTGAGAGGGGGGGGGGCATTGTAAATAGGTAAATAAACTTTTTATTCAAATCAAATAGGGTAACTTGTGAAACAAAGTTAAGAGCTATATTTCAAAATTCAAAATTCAAAATAGTCGACCGATGACATTTAAAATGATTTTTTTCCTCCTGACTTCAGGTTTTAGAAGTAGCTATCCGTTCACCATGTTGAGTATATTTGATGTCGTAATGTCTCCATGTAAAACCATAATCCAGAAAGCACGTGAGGTATGGCCGGAAGTTTATATCCTATGGTTTGCTATGGTTGGTCAGATTGTAAGCCTCGCCACACCCTATTGGTCCATAACATCGTCTGGTTATTCTGGTCTGTGGAAAGAATGTAGGGCTGGAGAATGTATCGGTGTTTTTGAATATGGCGATCCAAGTCGTAAGTAAACCTTTTAAATTGGAAAACTATGGGGATTTCTGAATAAGGCCAACGTTGGTCGAGCGGCAGGCCACTGGATTCTCAATACGAATGATACTGATTGAATCCTGGCATGTGCATAATTTTCGAACACGACTATCATTTATCAGTGCCTAGGTTTTCGTATAGTAGGTAAAACGCATATGGCGGAAATTTAGAGCGCATAAACATTTGGGTGTTTCGATAATTTTTTCTGTGTATATACATTCTTACATGACAATCAACCTTTATTAAACATTAAAAATTTACATTCATGGAATGGAAATAGTTTATAAACCTCAAATCAGATTAGATTTCCTACCAGGGTATGGGGCGGGTGGGTATGTGCCCTCCCTACCGACAAAGTGCACTCTCTTTTGAAAATACTCCTGGAAATGCGCGTGTCAATGTCAGCATATTCTCATTACCTTGGTGCCCCATTTCCTGCTGTCCATCCCTTGTTTTCAAATAGATCCTCAGGACTTAACCATAATCCCTCAATCAAGTAGGCCCAAGCACGCCCCTGGAGACCGTCTGCTATAATAATATATAGTTACGCCAAGCGTCATAGGTCTGTAATTTGTACAAAATTGTATTCGATTATCGCCAGTTTTCCGCCGTTTCCTGGCCCCACACCGAGCATAATAATTTTGATACAGCCGGTATGTTGAATTCAAAGGTTCTTTACGTGCATTCAAATGTCACGTGTATGTGGTTGCACCTCCTTTATTTCTCCTACTCGAATGACAAGACAGCACTTTAGCCCGTCACGCATGTTCGTCGCTACCCCTCACATGTGATGATTCGAGCCTATAAAATCGTTAGATTCTACATTGTTCAACAAAGCCTTATATTTAGAATAGTGCCTGGTGAATATAAATGTAAATGAAAAAGATCTCCGGTGTAGCCTTCCTCTTTTTTCATCTATTTCAGATTGGTTACGGTGTGTCCAGATTGTCGTCTGCTTGTCGTTACCTTTGACCCTACTATCCGCCATCTTTCTTCTGCTAGCATCAACAAGAACCAACACAAACTGTTCAACACCTGGTGGTTTCGCAAGCCTAACAGCTGGTAAGACTCCCTGTATGTACGTAATAATGAATAGGGTCGCCTGTCAAACCCCGTGACTTCGGTTTCATCAGTAGCCACACCCCTCCCCACCCACTCCTCTACGCGCAAGCGATTTGTTAAAAAAAAAAAAATGAACTATTTGTAGTACCGAAATGACACAGTTTGTATGTGTGTCGGGGGACGGGGCTTGCGTCGGAGTTTTTCATAAGGTCATCCAAAGGCAAGTAGCGCGGTTTCGACCCACATTTCTACGTGACATGGATTAGCGTTTCCTACGGTGTTATTGGTAAAGACGTCAAAGGTTATCGTTTTGCTCTGGGCGTCATAATAATATGCATTTCGCATTTCCCTCGGTAGCTCGAGCATTTCTAAGCGATAAATTCAGATTCTGTATTTGTACAAATACAGTCGTTAAGATGGGACAAAAGCCGATTCTTGTAAAAAAAAAAAATAAACGGCCCTCATTTCAGATATCAAATATCGATTTCGTTTCGTTTTATTTTGTATATGGCAAAGGTCGTTTTATTTTGTATATTGTAAAGGCCGGTATATTTTAATTCGTCTCAAAATGACCTTTATCCTTGATAAATTATAGGTTGCATGCTGTTGCTGGGTGGTGGTTTCTATGGCTACCAGCAGAATGATGCTTCAGCTATTGGTTGGAGTCTTCTGGTGAGCGTTATAAGTGGCTGTATGTGTGTCTTCTGTAGTACCCGGATGATAATAAACTGCATCAAACGCGAGGACGAAATCGAGGTACAGAAAGTGTTTAAACCTGGGCCAACCAATTTATAGAATTTGCGCAACAACGCCCGTTTATAGTTGAACGAACTGCATAATTTACGAAACGGCGTCTGTGTAAACCTGGATTACGAAACGGAGTCTCTGTAAATGTGGTATAGTAATTTATATAAATTACGAAACTACCACTTTTAAAACTTATTAATAAAATCTGCGAAACTAGATTTGTGCAAAGTCCTTAATTGGGCGGGAAAACTGAGATGTGAAGATTTTATGACATATTTATACAAATATTTTAATATACTTTAAATATATACATTATATAGGCTCTTTTACTTTTAGTCTCGATTGCTCCAGGCAATTATCTGCTCTTCCACTGCAACCGTTACGTTCTAGGCAAATGGTGCCAATTTAAATATGGTTTTTCTATATTCATGTACGTCTTACGATTAGTTGACCCCCACCCTGTTATCTGAACTGAAGTATGCAGAATGTATTAGTGACTGGACTGAGACACGGCTTGAACTGTATACTTCGGAACAGCCAGACGCTCAGTTATCATATACGCAACTGGTGCTAATTGGCCAGGTCAATCAGTGTTCGTTGTAGTGGAAGCAGGGACAATTGCTCTGAAGCAATATTGACATCGAATTCCAATCATTCAATTGACTGCTCTTTAGTCGGTTGATATAGAATTTTAATATTTTAAGCTGTTCAAATTACGTCTAGACATATATTTTATTTTCCATAGAATTTTATATTAAATTTGTTATTAAAAATTTATTTTGTATAGTTATTTGTAACTTGAATCAAATCGACTGTGTAGTCTTAAGGTCAGTAGTTACTATAACGGATTGTCATGGTGAGTCGCCATTCTTAAAGGAGATAAAGTAGTCTGTTGGATTGGCTCTATTTCGTTTAGGAATGTAGGAAGCTCTCTATTCGATGAAATTTCGTTTCGGAAATTTTGTTTATAGAACATTGAACGATGATTATCTTCACACACCATTCAATGAAATTAAAAAGTTTACATTGGTTTATATTGATTTCGGAGGTTTTTGCATTAAGTGGTTTAACGCGTGCGCGTGAAATAACAAGATGTCATTAGTCAAGTGGCGTGGTTTCGATTCCCCGCTTGTATGTGGCGAGACGCAGGGTTTCCTCCCACTACTAAAGAACCCTACGAGCAAACGAATTATTATTCAAAATAAAATTGAACCATATGTTAGTCCCAAAATGACCCTAGTCTCGGTCTTGCACAGAAAGTAATAATAATTATACTAGATTTTTGTGCAAGCTAGTCCAGTATAGATCAAGATCTTTTTTTTATAATACTCGTTGGCGGTTAATTATGGAATACCAAATTGGGCATTTGTTTATTATCGAAGCTTAATTTTGTCAAAACTTTACACCTTGATAACTGAGCCCAGAAAGTTATTCAGATTTTCCAGCTTGGTTTACCTTGTTCGTGGTACAGGGCGATGAAATGCGCCTAGTCGTTTGAATGGGACGTAAAACGGAGGTCAGCCCATGTATTCATTGACATGTACGGAAATGAAACCCTGAAGGTTGGGAGTCGATGAAGAGTAAGCGGAAACGGCCCTCAAGCAGATTGTATGGCGTATGCATGCGTTCATTAGAACGGTCGGGGACCAATTTATATCTTGTTCAAACAATAATCGAAATAATTCGAATAAAGTACTTTCATTTCGATTACCTCATGTAACATGACAATCGGTTTTAAGATATTTAATGGATTCTTTCAATTTGATTCCTAAATTTATTTTAATCGATCCTTATGGAATCAAATCGTAGGCTAGGTTTATCGTCCAGGATCCATACGCTTTTACACGAAATAAACAAATTTTATTTTTTTTACATTCATTGCGTTAACTTTCTTGTGACATATTTAAGATGTAGGGAGTCCTATTGTCTCGGTGGATAAGTCTCTGACTGATGTGGTTCCTCCTTGTCAAGGGACAACGTATAGTCTGTCGGATGGGACAAAACCCGAGGTCATGTGTACACATTGGCGTGTACGTTAAAGATCCCTTGGCAGTTGGAAATCGATATAAGAGTAGGTCGTAAGGCATAATTTCCCTCATGGTAGAATTTCCGTCATGGCACACTGTATGGAATATACCCAGCTCCCAGTCGGAGCAGAACAGTATCACGCTAAACCCCATTTCGTTTCATTTATATAGCGCTACATGACATCATGTGTTTCTTTAAAAAACAACCAATGATTGAAGGTCTGTCATTGAGCCAACTTACGATGTTTCGATTTCTCGGTTATACGTGACAAGGAGTAGAGTCGCCTGTCCAACCTCGTGGGTTTTCTCTCGATCCTCCGGTTTACTCCCACTGCTAAAGACCCCTACGCGCAAGCGAATTATTGAAATAAAATTGAACCATATGTTAGTCCCGAAATGACATAGTATGTGTCAAGTGGACGTTAAAACCCCTGTAATACTATAGGGTTGTTTTAATTCTATGAAAGGTGTTCTGTTTAATATAGAAATTCGTTACCTACATGATGTGTGGCGAAAACTAGGCTACTGAAGTACCTTGCGTTATTCCACTACTTTCTTAGACAGTTATGCCAGTATCCATTTCTGGAAGGGGGTTACGGTCTTCCAGTCATCGCGTGCACAGTCCAATTCAATAGAAAACGGTTGACGTAAAACCGTACCCATTCGAAACACTTACCCAAACATGGTAATAGTCCCTCGCTAATAGCTGACGCATCTACTCAGCCAAATTAAAAACTTGACACTCGGGATGTTTGGGACTAGATTTTTAATATTTGGTTTAAGGCAACTATTTTAGTGTTTTATGTTGTGCACAGACGACCTTGACATCAACAGAAAGCAAGAATACGTCTCGCCGAAAGTCCTTGACATTGATAACGTTCGTGATGTCACAGTACCCCCCAAAATGAAATTCACAGACTTGGAGAACAATCGAAATAAAGTGTTTAGTAACGGTTGTGGCCTCCTCTAGCGTCTCGTACTGCCGCACAACGTCTTCTCATGGATCTCAGAACATTAGTAAACACTACCCGAGGAAGACGTCGCCACTGCTCAGCAAGAGCATGTTGAAGGTCCTGCAACGTCAGTGGTGGATTCACTTGCTGACGAACACGTCGACCCAGTTCGTCCAAGATGTGTTCAATAGGATTAAGGTCGGGGCTAAGCGACGGCCAATCCAGGACTTGGACACCGGCATTTCTTAAAAAATTCTGGGTAGCAATTGCTGTATGGGGTCGAGCATTGTCTTGTTGAAACGTTAGTCCAGGCCCATGTCTCTGCATAAACGGAAGAAGAACCACGTGACTTTACAATTTTATGAAATTAAAGGCTTCTTACTACTTACTATCGTTAGAAACACCTTAAAATTTATTTGACTTACCAGAAAAAAAAATTTGTTGAAATTCATCAGTGTCAAGTTTTTAATTTGGCTGAGTATATATTTTCTATATAAGTTGAGCGGAGTTAAATTTCCCTTCAGTCATCATCCGGCGTTTCTAGCCGTACAGTTATCCGCCTTGGCTTAGAGGCCGGGATAGGGACAATATGTAGTGGTTCAGCCCTAAGGTCTGAGTTCTAGGCTTGTTAAACTCAGACTGTAGATATTAAACATGTAATAACTCCTAATGTAGTTTCCTGTATTTCATATAAAAACATAGTTTCTAGAGCCAATCAGTTGGTTAGTGAAAACAATTTTGTACACAACTTGAGGCCAGAGTTAATTCATCTATTTAACCAGCGGCTGCCAGGCAGGATACGCCCACATTTTCGAGAGATGGATAGAGAACAAGCTAAAAAGAAAGTGATTTTTCCTACAATCAAGGGCCATAATTCAGGAAATTACAATTCGATATGCGCAAATATCGAAAGGAACCGAGATCTTTGTGTTATAAACTTACATTTCAAGTTTCAACAAAATTGGATAAAAATTGTGACCTCCATAGGATCCACAACCTTGATATACCGTATCTTTACGCTATTTGAGAACGAAGGGCGGCCATTTTGTCTGTCAGTTTTGGGTCGATTTTCACGAAATTCGAACTCAGCCGTCCTTATGGTGTAACGGTGATATAATAATATAATAATACGCGATTTTTCGTACAATCAGGGGCCATAATTCAGGAAGTTACGGTCTGATATGCGCAAATATCGAAAGGAAACGAGATCTTTGGGTTATAAACTTACATTTCAAGTTTTAACAAAATCGGATAAAAATTGTGACCTCTATAGGGTCCACAACCTTGTTATACCGTATTTTTACACTACTTGAGAACGAAGGGCGGCCATTTTGTCTGTCAGTTTTGGGCCGATTTTCACAAAATTCGAACTCAGCCCTCCTTAGGGTGTAACGGTGATATAATAATACGATTTTTTAAATCAGATAAAAATTATGACCTCTATTGGGTCCACAAGCTAAAAACGCGATTTTTCGTACAATCAGGGGGCATAATTCAGGAAGTTACTGTCCGATATGCGCGAATATCGAAAGGAACCAAGATGTTTGGGTTATACACTTACATTTCAAGTTTCAACAAAATCGGATTAAAATTGTGACCTCCATAGGGTCCACAACCTTGATATACCATATTTTTACGCTATTTGAGAACGAAGGGCGGCCATTTTGTCTGTCAGTTTTGGGCCGATTTTAACAAAATTCGAACTCACCCCTCCTTGGGGTGTAACGGTGATATAATAGTACGATTTTTTAAATCAGATAAAAATTATGACCTCTATAGGGTCCACAAGCTGAAAACGCGATTTTTCGTACAATTAGGGGCTATAATTCAGGAAGTTACGGTCCGATATGCGTGAATATCGAAAGGAACCGAGATCTCTGGGTTATAAACTTACATTTCAAGTTTCAACAAAATTGGATAAAAATTGTGACCTCTATAGGGTCCACAACCTTGATATACCGTATTTTTACGCTATTTGAGAACGAACGGCGGCCATTTTGTCTGTCAATTTTTGGCCGATTTTCACGAAATTCGAACTCAGTCGTCCTTAGGGTGTAACGGTGATATAATAATACGGTTTTTTAAATCGGATAAAAATTATGACCTCTATAGGGTCCACAAGATAAAAACGCGATTTTTCGTACAATCAGGGGCCATAATTCAGGAAGTTACGGTCCGATATGCGCGAATATCGAAAGGAATCGAGATCTTTGGTTTATAAACTTATAAGTTTCAACAAAATCGGATAAAAATTGTGACCTCTATAGGGTCCACAAGCTAAAAACGTGATTTTTCGTACAAACAGGGGCCATAATCCATGATGTTTCGATCCGATACATGCCAATATCGAAAGCAGCCGAGATCTTTTGGAGATAAACCTATATTTCAAGTTTCGTCCAAATCGGATAAGAATTATGACCTGTAGAGGGTCCACAAACAATTGTGGACGGACGGACGGACGGACGGATGTCCGGACGGACAGGGGCGACGGCATAATACGTCCACATGAAAATGTGGGCGTATAAAAACACAGTACTGTGTAATACTATTTGATAATTGATGCGAAATTGTATTAGACGAATATAAGTGCACCAGAGGACATGAGTTATAATTTGATAAATACATATGTTTTATTTGTATTCTCCATCGTCAGTATACTAGCTATGGTATGAGTTTATTTAAAACGAAAATTTAATTGTTTATGAAATACTGTGAGAATAACAGGAAAAGGATAGATTCTATGTCTAAAAGCACGTAATCGGAAATTTACCATTTCATATTTGGCACGAGTGA